CGGTTTGCCGCCATGGCTTCCATCCACACCTACTCATCGATGTTGCGGATCTCGCCACGGAGACCCGGGCGGTCGTGCAAGGGAGGATCCGGCCAAACCCGGAAATCCGCGGGAACTGTCATGCGGCCGTCGTGCTCGTTCGCGATGTTGGATATCAGGAGGTCGACGATGTCAGCGAGAACGTCTACTCCTCCTTCCCACCGGTCGGGGATCGCGCGGCCGACTTTTGTTGCGTAGCCAACCACCTCGCGCAGCATGTCATCCACATATCCCAACGCGACGACGACGTTGAGAATCGTGTCACCGTTCGCGTCCACCTCGTAATGCCGCACTTCCTGTCCAATGACCTCGCCCACAAAATCAAACAACCTGCCGTCCTTCTCTCCTCGACGATGCCTCATCTCGTAAAAAGTTATGGTACGACCGAGGACACGACCTCTGAGCGCCACCTGGATGTCCATTGATTCGCAACGCCGCACCCCCGCACAGCTGCGATGTCCGATGTCGACTTTCGTAACGACAACCCCTCGATGACTGCCACGTGCGATTTCACTATTGCCTCTGTGTTCCGCTTTGAACACGAGTGCACAATTCACCATCCTCCGTCCCCCGTATCTGCTTCCCCACCACCAGCCTCGGCGCACATATGACCTCGCACTTTCGGCACGTCAGCTCCCACGAACAATCTCTCACGTTGGCGTGGGAAACACGATGCCATGACCTTTATTAAGTTTCGCCGGCATCGTCGTGCGCCCAAAGTTGATCGCCGAGATGAACCGCGTCATTTCGGCGCAGGGGCCAGATCCTATCAACCCCTCCCTCCCCCACACCAACCCCTCCCCCAGACCGACCCCTCCGCCCCTGCCTCCAAACGACCCACCCCATCGGTGATGCGACACACGAAGCTAACACCATGTATGGGTTGCTTATCCCCACCCCTCTTGGACTTCATCCAACCTAAAGACCACGGGTTGCGACCACCCGCGACGACTGCAAACGAACGGCCAATGAGAGCAGAAAAAAAATAAAAAATATAAGACAAACAACATAAAGCCAAAAAAAAAAAAAAAAAAAAAAAAAAAAAAAAAAAAAAAAAAAAAAAAAAAAAAAATCCTAAAAAAAATAGAGATAGAAATTGTTCAACAAAGAATCATGTGAAATGACCTTACACAAGCTGACGGACAGGTTCAAAAGCCAGTGGTCAGCGTCGTTGCGAATCGTGAATGACAACGTCATGAAAAACGCAGCAAAAAAAACAAAAAACCAAAAATGAAAAAAGAACGGAGGGGCGTAAACTATCGTTGAAATGCCCCCAGCGCACCGCTCGTGCAAGCGCACTGGCCTGGGTGTTGGGGTTTGCTGTCCCGTCACAACCTCGCAATCAATCCCTGGCCAATGCCGACGCGATCTTAAGCAGAGCTTCGCACAGCATCCGTTGCCCGACGTCGAGAACTTCGCATTGCCTCTCCTGCGTTCTTGCCTCCCTCTCCATTATGTCACACTGTCGTTGGAGCATGTCGCACTGTCGCTTGCTCGCGCGGTCTATGGACTCCGCGACAACGGTGGAGTTCGTTTTCATCACATCCGTCACCGCCTCGAAAGCCAGTTGCCTGGCGTTCTTCTGCTTGCCTTGAATGCCGTTTGAAGACAACCTGCTGCCACACCCGTCCCCCGTATCCGCTCCCCTGTTCTCGCTCGCCGAAGTGTCTGCTTCCCCACCACCCGCTGCAAGTTGGCTTCGCTCACCTTGTTGTGACTATTGTCCTTGTGCGTTGCCGGTGTCCACGAGATTCGGCGGGTGGACGGCCTGGTTATTCCCCTGCATGATGTGGATCGCATTGTATAGAGTGCGGTCTAGATTGAACCTGTACCCTTTCTCCTTTCGTGCTTTCGTTGTCATGAGGAAGTACGATTGCAGTCCCGAATCCTTCTCCCTGTCCCACACTTTCCTGTACCACCCGAATATGTTCTCCCATCTCTTCATGCATTGCTCCCCGTCTCGCCAAACTCCTTCCTTCTCCATCCGCTTTGCGATGTCCATCCACTTTTGGTCCTTCGTTTTCATTCTGGCGAAATTGGTTCCCGCATTAGCGAAGTAGTCATCTTGGTCTCTCTTGCACCGGACAAGAACGAGGGATTCGTTCAAACTCCAGTTCCTCCGCGCTCCGCTCCCGCCACCCTCGCCGTTCGTATCACCTTCCTTATCCTTACCCTTCGCTTTCCCACGGACTTTGGAAGGTTGCTTTTTCGTTCCGCCGGAGACTGCTTCCTTGACCGGAGCTTCGTCTTCGTCTTCGTCGTCACCGTCATCGTCTTCTACGTCGACGTGGTCCAGCTCGCTGGCACCAACTTCACGGCCGCCCACATCACCGTCGCCGGTCGGCCTCGAGCTAATGTAGCGGCAGACAATACGCTCCACGCATCGAGCTGATTCCGCAACCCCGACCAGATCAGGTCTCCGTTCCTGCATGGCCGCGCCTGCTCCGTCACCTTCGCTGGTCGCCCGCAAGCTGTTGAACCGGCAGACGATACGCTCCACGTATCGAGGGGATTCCGCAACACTGCCCACATCAGTCCTCTGGTCCTGCATGGCAGCGCCTGCCGCAGGTTGGCGACACGGCACGCTGCCCGCTGGTGCGGCCTGGCTAGGCGCAAGCCTTGACATGTGGTTCGGCCGGTGCATTGACACTCCGTCGTGAAGGACACTGGCATGCATTGTCTGCGTGCTCACACCGCCACCCTGTCCACTCCGCTGGACGAGGACCGTTCTAGAAACATCCATGGTGGCCGTCGGTGACAGTTGCAAATCGAATGGATGACGATCTCTGCCCCGCGTTTCGCCCAGCAAAGCGGACATCGGACCCACACCCCCTCCGGTGCTTACAACTCGCGGTGGTGTGTCGTAAGACGTCTGTGTCGACCCCCATGCGAGACCCAATGTCGACGGAGGGGGCGTCCACGTCGTGTCATCAGGCAAAGGCTGCTGGTGAGGAGGGAGATGCAAATACAAATTTGGATCAAACCTGTGGTGGAGATTGTGTTGCATTCCACTCCCTCCCCCGTACGCCCCCCTCCCCATCCCAAAACCCTCACAACCCCGACTGTATCCGTCCCCCCTCCCTTTGCTCCCCGATGCGCCCTGTCGAAGCGTCTTCAACCCCTTCCTCCTTCCACGCTGGATGCGAGCACCAGCCAGGTGGCACGCGTGTAGAGCTATGAGCAGCACCACCGCCCCAATCAGGATAATTAGGAGAGCTAGCTTCCTCACCATGTCAGCCATGCGCGCCTGCAGCCAAACACGACACACAGATCTGCTACCTTTTGATGACGACAAAGCGCGGTAGCAGAGGAGTGCAATATAGCGGCTCGCGGAAAAGGCCCAGCAGGCGACGGGCAGCGCATACCACCCAATTTGAAACAGACGCCGCCAACGGCACTCGCACGCCCGCCTCCGCGGTGACCCCCGCAACGGTTGTCTCCACACGCAAGCCGAAACGGCTACCCGGAGGTACCGCATGGCCACAGCCGGGCCACGGCGCTGCCCGTTGGAGACTACCGTGGAACTGCCGTCCCATGGTGTACCGGACAACCCAGCGTTTGGACCAGGAACGCGAAGGAAACACCCGAGGAAAAAAGAAAACAAAAATGTCGGTGGTTTTCCCGTGGAAAGTAAGGGCGCCACCCCTACTTTCAAGTCACCTCCACGGCCGTTCTTGCGCTTGCGTCCGTTTTGGCTGGGGAGCCCTCATTTTTGTAGGGCTCGCCCTTACGCTCGCGAATGTGAAAAAAAATTTCGCATCTTTTTTTTTGTCATTAGGGAGAGGTGGAACGATGAAACCCTTACATGTAAGGGTTTTCTAGTGGTGTCGAACGAGGCCCATACTCCTGAATGCAGTCGATGTATTGCTCTGAGTGTCAGAGTGAACTTCAAGGTATTCGGCCAAGCAGGAGGAAATGGGAGGGTAACTATAACTCTCATCGTCTTCGAACTAGTGACGCGCGTGAACGGATTGCCAATATTCTCTTCGCTGACATCATTATCATGGTCATTATCCAGATCGATCGTTCTCGCTTCTGTTCATCGACAGTACCTCGGCTGTTGCTCGTACTGGTAGGCGGGCAGTATTGTCCTGACCCTGCGGCGGATGGAGTGCATGGCAGCATGAGCAATAAGGGAATGTGAAGGTGGGGGAAGAAGATGAAGGAGAGGGAGTCGAGAAACATGCCTACAATCGATCGGTACTGACCGACGTACCTACTCTTCCAATCTGGGAGGACGTCGACATGCACCTCAGCAAAGCAAGACCAAAGGAAACTATGGTGGAAACGCACACCGATACGGACGCATAAGTCAAGGCAATAAGACTAGTTGATCTATCCATTGCGACTCCTCCTTCATTGTCTTCTTTTATCTATTTAGCATTTTATTATTATCATTTTTTTCCCTATGGCTTATAGTTAACTTCGTCGTTACCTGGTCGAGGTTTGATAAACAAGCACATGACAACAAGCTACGGAGTGACCCCTCGCACGATAATTTATCTTTCCTCTTCCCCGCTCTCGCTGGTTGCCCTCGTAATATCTCTACGGTGGCATGAGACTGCACCCATCCTCCCTTCAATGTATTTTCATTATATATGATATGACCTTGGCTATGCTTCTCTCAGAATGGTAATTGAATTCTTAATCGCGTCTTAGTTCTTGATTTTCGATCATGCATGGGCCTTCTTTTTTTAATGGAGTAAGCCCAGTTATTCGTGGCCATCCCTGCCTGTAGCCATCGGGGTTGACGAAGTCGCACATCCTTAGCTACCTTCGTGATGATTGTGGTAAGTACGTGATGGAAGGAGGAGTGATGAAGATAATGTAGGTGGTAGAAGAAGGAAGGTATCTACCTGAAATGGCAGTTCGACTCGTGAAGAAAGCTATGGGTGATTGCATTTGTCCGCCCCCTTCCCCCCCCGCCCCCCCACCACCTGACTGCAAATGAAAGGGCAAAGGGTATCAGATTCTGAGCCGTGTTGCCAACGAGATGCATGCTTGCTAATACAGCCAGCTGACACATTGGCCAGATGGTTGTTAAGAGAGGAGGAAAAGAGAGGTATTGGGAAGGAAAAGGATATGAAAAGAGAGAAGGCGAGGAAAGAGAATGGGGAAAGGGCGAAGCGGAGAAGGAATGACTTAGTACCTGGTGGGAGAATCGCCATCAACCACGAGCTGAATACGCACATTAGTAAGTTGTGCCAATTACTATGCGCACAGGTGAGACTGTGTCAGAACGTTTCGTTAAGACTTTCACCAACTCATCGGAGGGTAGAACATCATCAGTATGCTCAGGATGCATTCGACCGATGGATGAGCACTCACCACGTCGCCCAGAGTCAGCGATACCCCTGAGGAGTGTAGTGTGAGTGTGGGTTTGTGTGAGTATGATATGTCCGTCATTCTGTCCGATCGTAAGACTTTTCTACCACACACTTACACGCCTGACCAAGACGTGAGACGATCGATCTGTGATCACTGACGTACTCTCCACTGACTTGACAAGATTGTTCGTCTCTTTGCGCTAGCCTCTCTCCCTTCATCATGCGAGTTTCGACGATGGACTTAACTGCCAAATAGTGACGCAGGATGAAGCAAGTGCGGGCAGGTGCATTCTCGGAAGTCGGGAATGATCAAGGAAAGTGACGAAGAGGAAGGGGAAATGGAGATAAAGAGGATGAAACAGGAGGAAAGTAGAAAGGAAGGGAGATGTAGTGGAGACTCACTGGCAAGAATTGACGAGCGTCGGACATGCAAGTTATAATGCTAGATTCGACTAATTAGCATGCCTTGAGTTGGACAACCCAGTTAACCCTCCCCAGCCCATGAGAATGAGGGTGGACTGTTGTAACTACCGATCTTCGAAAGTCTAGCCCCAAGAAGCATCAAACATTTCTGACAAAATCCATGGTGCGAATTTGATATAACAAGCACTGGCTCCCAGTGCGACCTCATAAAAAGCTATGAAACACAGACCTGAAGAAATTGAAACACAAGTGCCACTGGTTGCTACCAAGGCAGCCCCTCGTGAACCAAGAAAGCGACCAAACACGCCTGCTACTAAACTACCGAGTAGAGGTTAGACTACAATAAGTAAATACATATTTCAAATCTTTTTTTTTTATTGAAGATCGTGATAGTTGACATCTGCTTGTTTTGATCTGACCACAACTTCATGCCCCTAACTTGAACCTCCTTAACCATAAACCTTACCAATAGGCTAACATCTGATGATTGGTGTCATCTCGGTGAGGATGTCTCGACGCAGCGGCAAATTACTATGTGGGCGATGCGCTTTTGTATTACTAAGCTTCGCCATGTCCCTGTCTGCCTGTTGTGTCCATGAGGGCGGTCGAAGACGTTTGCCTCATTCATGTTTATACTCCTGACCTGCCTCGCAGCGTGCATGCCCATTAGAATAGCTGTTCAAAATCTTGTGTTTAATCTTATTTCAATGACCTTTATTTGTGCTATAATGATGCCTGTGAGCTAATCTCGAGGTAAGTTTCATAGTCGAACCGCATCTGTGCTTGAGATGTCGCTGAGATCCTCATATCCGACATTAACCAGGGTCATGTCTACACGCATACTAAGCTGACAGGGAGTTTGGTATACTCATTTTCTAGCTCAAGTGTATGCAGCTTCTTGTCGTAACTTCAGTTCTATGAATGATGAGGTTCTGACGATCTCATGAGTAATGGCATCTTGAGTTAGAGAATGAATGTATCTTGTGGAAATTAGTGTCCTGTGCATACTGAAAGGATTCATGCTGCAGACACCCCAGTTCCGGTTCCAGAGTGTCCCAGTCTTTCCCGGTAGGACAGGCCGTTGGGTTCATTTGCCGGAGGGTCGTAGGTCGGTAGGTGTCAGTCCAGTTGATGTAGCTCAGTGGTTAGAGCACCGGTTGGAAATGTGCATTGTGGTATGAGGTTGCGGGTTCAAGACTCCGCAGCCTTGTGCATGGACACCGGCAGGGCGTTAGAATGACGCACGGCTGGACACACACCCGTTGGGCTGATGCATGGTAAGCTATTACAGACACTGCCTGTGCACCTCCCGGGGGACTGTCCATGGTGTTGCATGTTGTGACCTGGCCTATGAGGGGTTTGCCTTGTACAGTGGCCTATGAGGGGTTTGCCTGATACAGTTAGCAGTTTAATGAGGATGCAGGTACGGGTTTGTGGTTAGACTGCTCATGTGTGTTGGTTACCTTAGGCTCTGCTTTGGGGGGGGTAAGGATCTGAGGTGGGATGGGGTCCCGTTTGGGGGAAGGGTTGGCTTGGGACAAGCTCTGCTGGAGGATATCAGTGGGGAACCTACAGTAGAGGATTGTCTTAAGGGATCTCGGTAGGAGGGGTGTTAGTAGACAGACTCTGGGGGAGGAAATCGTTGGGGAATCTGCAGTAGGGGCTGTCTGAGGGGGATCCTCCAAGAAAGGATGGTCTGCGTCCCATAAATTAGTTGCTGACTGTAGAT